CCCATGAGAGCATGCTGCGTGTGACGACGGAGACGCCGGCGGCGTCGAAGCGGTCGAGGAGGCTGGTGTCGGAGGCGAGCGTATCGTTTTGTATGCAGAGGTGGCTGTAGGACTGGACGGCGTCGAGGGGCTCGCCCGTCTCGCGCAAGGATCATCTCGGCGAGCGCGGCGAGGACGGCGGGCGGGTAACCGGAGATGCCTACGTAGCGAAGGAGGCCCTGGCTGCGCAGGGCGCGAAGCTCGCGGACGGCGGCGAGGACCTCAGCGGGCGAGACAAACTCGACGTCGTGGCAGTGCACGAGGTCGAGGTACGGCGTGTGCAGGCGCGCCAGCGAGCGGTGGACTGAATGGCGAATGTGAGCTGGCGAGTAGTCGAACGCCGAGGGACCGACGCGGCCGGCCTTGGTGATGAGGAAGAGCGAGTCGCGGGGTGGCGCAAGAGCTGACAAGGCAGCGCCCACGAGGAGCTCCGAGGGACCATAGTAGGGTGATGTGTCGATGGCAGTTATGTTGGCGGCGAAAGCTGCGCGGAGCACAGGCAGCGAGAGGTTGTTGAAGTCGGGATTGGGGTGGTACTGGATGTTGAACGTCGCTGTGCCCAGGATAAGTGGCGGGATGACCGACGAGAGGGGTGGCAGGGCTGTCATGATGATATTGCGGGAAGAGAGGCAGCCGACAAGATCCGAGAAACGAGCATGAAAAGGATAGGGGGAAATGGAGGAACAGGAGAGAAAGGAAGGAAAGGCACTTGTAAGAATCTAAAGGTGGGGGGGGGCGGCCGGGAGAAAAATGCGGCAACGCCAAAGTGAAGGTATCGCGACCGACGCGCAAAATGCGCCCGAGACGATCCGACTGGATGGAGGGGCAATCAAGCACGTCAGCGCGATTCGCATGCGTTAGTTTTAGTTCGCCAAGCCAGGACAGGCCTTGTTTTCCCGAGATGGGTACACCGAGAGATCTCGCGCTTGGGTGGCTGGAAACAGAACAGGGGCAGACAAAGATAGATTGGTGTGAGGCATTATCGATGATGAAGTGGCCGACTCTCACGCTATCATCGAGGTGAAGGAGGGTTCCGGGAACAAGGGAGAAGTCAGGTAGGTAGCTTATGAAGCTGATACGAGCTCAGTTTGGACAATGGACACCTAAACTTACCATCCAGGAAATGCACCTGCACCGGCTGGGGTTACGTGTGTGACGGTAGAGAAGGGATTTCACGGCTTCTCCAGCCGATAGCCATTGGTGATGGTGGTGCTCTCATGCGATTGATTGATCAGCCTGACACTCGCCCGCGTGAAAGAATGCAGCAGACAAGGCACTCAGCGCCGGCCACGTCTAGCTGTGGCTTGCGTAGTGAAGTGACAGGTGCATTTCGTTACTCTCCAGCGATCGTGGTGGTGTTGAAAGGTGGAGATGGCCGGGAGTCGATGACGCCCTCATCCAAGGTTTGATAAAGGGGCGGCTCCGCCTATGCGAAGTATGCCCTGCGCCGCAGAGGCCCTTGGAGGCGACGTCTGCTGCAAAGGGTACCAAGTTGATCCAGGCTTCTGGTCAATCGCGTGTGTACTGGAGCGCAAGGGTCCACGCAACTGGCGTTTCCGGCATTTCGTTGACAAGAAGACGCCGTCGAAGGCCATGCACTAAGACGTTTTTCATTTCGCCGTCCTCGGGGGCAGCCTCTTGACGCCGGCACCATCACGTGCATGATGATGGAAAACCTCCGAGCAAATCCCTTTTCTCTTGCAGTCGGTAGATAGCATACCACTACAAACACCCCCCCCCCCGGGGGGGGGATCTCCCCGCTCACAATCGACCAAGGTGTGACCTCGCTGTGCCCACCTCCTCGTCTACCCCTTCGGCACTTGAGCCTGCAGTGCCCTGCTTCCCGTGCCTCGATTGGGTCCCTATGGGTTCTTGAGTGCAACGGCACCGGCGCAATGCGTCTACGGCCTCTGAACGTATTGTATTGAGAACCGTAGTCCTAGTGATCCATCGTTGCCTGGTCAGCATTCTTCGCTCCGCCGTTTCCGTGTCTTGCTAACATTCCGGATTGCGAAGTTCGACATGCTGACCACATCGTAGAGCACATTCTCTTAAAACAGATCACAGGTTTACCCCGCGTCCTGTCAACACTCCCCGCGCGTACGATAAGAATTCCTTGTACTGTACATCCCCTGTTATCCGTACATCGCAGTACTACCTCACTCGAAGTCGTGGCCCGTCTTGAGAACTCCTACCTATTTGGGCAGCCTCCGTCCCATTGCGTCCTCGAATGACCCTTCCCATATTGGTCATCCATTAGGCTAAAGCTTCCAGCGTTGGTGGTCATACTCGAAATGATCTACGTTCCATTAGTCGAATGCCACTTTATGGTATGGCTCCTTCACGTTCACCAGGTGCCGTTGGTATCCCCGCGTGCTGTGACCCGGCTGGATCACCTCAAGCATTACTATTTACCCTCCCAATCAAGCGAATAGACCGAAACTACTTCATATCGGACTTCTTCCACTGCGACACCATGCTATGAGCTCGTCCGCTAAGTACAGTCTTCGCTTTTCCGATAGATTGCGCGTACCCAGTACATGTTAAACCTGCCGCCGGCGCAGGCAACTCAAGTGAGGTTCTGCCGGCTTGGCTACCATCTCCGTTGCTCGATCGTCACATCAGCCTGCCCCCTTGGGTCTCCATTCCGAGCATTTTGCCATCAACAGGCTCAGTGTCTCGCCCTGTTGATTGCCGATGCCTGCTCCGCTCCGCTCCTGTCCAACCTATGTGCCCTCCAAGGCCTACGCTCATTGCGAGGACTATTAAACGTACAATGGCGCTGCTGTCCTGTCCCGCCCGTGTCCCCGAAACCCTGTCCCCGAATGCATGTCAATATTCCCAAGGTCTGCGATCATGCGCTGGTCGTCCATGCTCACAACGGCGGCCTTCGCCGGGTCTGGTAGGTCTTGTTTACATGCCATCTCGCCAGCAACAGGTCACTGACGCGAGCAGCCACGGCCCAAACCACCACCTACCGTGATAGTCAAGGCCGTACCTTCTCCGGCTACACTGATGGCGCTGGCGTGCGGTATGGTATTGCCATCCCAACCAGCGCTGCTCCAGGACAGTCATTCGACGCCATTCTACAAATCACTGCCCCCATCAGTATTGGCTGGGTTGGCTTGGCTTGGGGAGGTGGCATGACCTACAATCCCTTGAGCATCGTATGGCCCAACGGAAACGATGTCATGATCTCAGCTCGCATGGCCTTGTAAGTCTGCCTGGCTATCCGGCCTTGTTACAATATGCTTATCCCGGCAGTGGCTATTCCGTTCCTCCGCCGTACCCAGCTACCACCCATACCCTGCTCTCAGGATCTGGGGCCAACGCTACTCATTTCACGGTCACGGCCCTCTGCCGTGGCTGCACCTACTGGTCCGTCCAGGGCTCGGACCCCGAGAGTCTGAACCCCAACGGCGAGAACTATCTTGCCAATGCCTATTCCACTGTACCTGTCGACTACCCCCGAGGAGGAACAAACGACGTTTGGAATCCATCAGGGTACCAACCACTGGTACCACGACTTTGCGCTGGCGAAAGCAGGCCGGGCTTTG